GCCAATAAGAATTCTGCAGCTATTTGAAAATATGTGAAGTACTTTTGAAAGCACCCAAGTAATCCAGAATAAAAGCTTCATCCATTATGCCCATGAAATACTGTCCCTCAATTGAATGAATTCCCCTCCCCCCCTCCTAGTCCCTAACCACATCCTGAGAGTGTGTCTGATGATCATGTTGGATTTTACAGAGTAAATCTTGTGTGCAAAAAAAGGGGGGAACAATCTTCCCACACACATATTCCTGTGTCTGTGTACGTGTGTCTATGTTTCTAAACTGCCCATCTCCCTCAAAGAGGGACTCTGAACAGTGTACTATATTCAATATTGGGTGTAGTTAAAAGAATGGGAGTTGCAAATTTCCAGAATATTGATAAGATTTTCTGAGCTGTTTCTTTCTGTTTAAGGTTAGAAGAAAATATAGGAGAGAAAAAGATAACTGCAAAGCATTTTTTCATAATTTGAAAAGAAATATCATACCAAAACCTCTTTGTAAAACAAAACAAAGAAATGTATTTGCATACTGAAGAACTATCTTCTAGAAAAATAAAAATATAAGCTTATAAATTTTAAAAGGGCCCATAAAAATACTGATGGCAGTTCTGTTCATGATGATTGGATGCCCAAGAGTCCATTCCTGAGCCATAATTTAGAAGGCTGTTTTCCTATTTCTATAGTTAAGAAAGTGAAATCATTCTTTGGTAGAAACCCAACTGTGGAATGTTCCCATATAAATCTTTTCAGCAGCTGATTTTAAAAAGCTGCTGATGTCTGCTTACAAATTTGATTCAGGGTTTTAATTGGTGAAACAGAAATAATGAAATAAGATCTATAGATCATTGGAGCCAGACTGGGTGAGATAAAGAATTAAGTCCGTATTAGTGTGTTGATTCCCCTTTTTAGAAAAGGGAAAAAAAGAAAGCAATGGTTAGGGATAAGAAAAAGTTCCACCTCTCAATTCTAGAGAGCTTTTAGGGTGGTGGTATTAGGTTGTGAGAATATATATATACTTGAAGATTAAACAACCCTCTTTCCTCTCACACTACATTATTTACCCACACCCGCTCAAGAGCTCAGATTTCAAGTTGAAGGCTTTATAATTTAACAAAGTTCTTCTTTTCCTTTCCTCTCTCATCTTTTTCATTCCAGGAATAAAGTTCCTGTTTCAGTTACGAGAAATTTAGAATAGCCTGTTTCAGATCCACTTACTTTAAATAAATTTATTTAATTAATTTAAAGCATGTAGATCTCATATTTGAAGAGAAGGACATTTGTAATAGGTTACAGTTCAATAAAAACAAGAACACTTCTGTCCTCAGGCTTACAGTCTAAAAATACTTAACATAGAGACAAAAAAGGCATTGAGATGCAGGAATGGAAACCAAAAACACAGTACTGTGCTGCTTATATTTATATAGTTTTTTACAATGATAATTTAGACAGAAACTGGGAATTTATTTTTCTTAAGTTCTCAATCTTGGGTCTCCAAGAATTAAACCTATTAATGTGATATCCTTGAAAACAGCTGCATAGAACTTGATGTTATTAGTCTTATGAATAAGCCTAAGAGAAGTATTCTAGATTATCACTCTTTTTTGCTCAAAGTATATCCTTACACTCTTACTTTTCTTCTGTACAGAACAACTAGTTTCAATTTCCAGAACGAAAGCAGTTCAGGTGAGAACAGCAGAAACGTCTACTTCAGTTTTCACAAATAATTGCTTTATACATATATTTTCAATGCATTATTTTTAAGAAGGATATCTTTCTTATTAAACAATGGGACAGGGAATTCCCTTAACTAAAACATTCTTCTGAAAAGGTAAAGTTTCACTCAAGACAAGCTCAACTCCTCTTGACTTTATAGACATATCTCTATTATCTTTGTCATAACGAAGACATGTCTTGCTACTGCCTTCTGAATTCAGGATATTTTTGAAACTTCCCAGTTTTGTCATTAGCTCTGGGATTTCTTCAAAGTTTTCCCATCATATTCTAACTATGTATGTAGCTAAATCCTACTAGTGGCTATTACATAGCATTCCACCAACACAGGCCTAATTAATACCTAATATTTTTCCATGCTTAATTTTTGTAGAGAACAATGATTCTTAAGCTTATTGATACCTGGTGCAGTGATTAGCAATATATATTGTGCATTTAAAAATGTTGTTCTATGTCTCATCTGGCCTGTTTTACAAGTTGTAAAACTAATGAAAAGCTGGGCTTACTAGTAGAAGAGTCATATTTCTGAATATAGATTTTTGAAAATGAATACTCATTAGCCAATGATTCTCTATACCTTCTGGTGAAAAAAGTAATTATTTTTATCTGACACACCCTAAATAAAATCAATACTGATTTACATTGGAGGAGCTGTCCATGGTCCTTATACATTTCTTTAAAAAACTTAAAAAATAAACCCTGAAAGCTCTGTCAGTATAAATGGTTTTCTCTTTCAGAAAATTAATAGAAACTATATCATTTCTTTTATTGCCTTCACAAAGTCTATATCAACAATTCCACTCACAACCTATATTTATCCATCATTAAAAATACACTAAGCCTATTGTTGTGTTTTATAAAAAACCCCTTAAATGAGCTTTTAAAAAACAATATTCTCATCTGAGGTTTGAAAATTAAAAATCATCACCACAGATCTAATTCACTCAAGTAACAGCACTTATGTAGTGAAAACTGCCAGAGCTATGTGTTCCAGAGGTATTGCCTGTTTGAAGGAAGTATTGCAGAACTACAAATAATTTAAAAAAAAATCCTAAAAAAGAAATGTATAGAATAAATCAATAAAGCTATGTATGTTCACATGAGTAACAATAATCTGAGGCCTTATGTAGCACTATTCATGGACAATGGAGAAATGGCTAAGACCCAAAGAAACTGAGACTAAAAAAAAGACCATGTTTATGACTAAGCATTCTCATTAGTCATAGAATTCTTGAGACGGAGAAGGAATATTGAAAGAAGAGGTCGATGGCTGTAACAATGAGGTTTTACTGCAAACCTCATTAATTTTCAAGTTAATACTGAATTTAGGAACGTTGCAAAATTAAAAATAGAATTCTTTACATGGCTTGTTAAATGTTATTAATGACACCATAGGTATCTATAGGAAACTGAGACTGTATGAATATGACAAAACATGTACAGTGATGTCATGATGCAAAATCCATTCATATGTAGTGACCTAAAGCCTAAATCTAATGCTCATATGTGATCAGCTAGAGTTTCGCTGCTTGTAAGTCAGGTTATGCAAACAAAAAGCAAAGGGAAGAGGCAACAAACATTCTTCAAAATACTTTATATATTTTTTCTTATAAGCTTATAAAACTAGAAATAAACTACAAAATAAAACTTCAGTAACTACAGGTAATCCTCGACTTATGACCACAATTGAGCCCAAAATTTATGTTGCTAAGCAAGACATTTGTTAAGTGAGTTTTGCCCCATTGTACGACCTTTCTTGCCACAGTTAAGTGAATCACAGCAGTTGTTATGTTAGTTACATACTTGTTAAATGAATCTGGCTTCTCCACTGACTTTGTCAGAGGGTTGCAAAAGGTGATCACACGATTCCAGGCAACCGTCATAAATGTGAGTCAGTTGCCAACTGTCTGAATTTTGATCACGTAACCACGGGGATGCTGCAACGGTCATAAGTATGAAAAATGATCATAAGTCACTTTTTTCAGTGATGTAACTTTGAACGTTCACTAAATGAACGGTTGTAAGTTGAGGACTACCTGTAATTTCCCACTTTATACTGACTATTCACAACTCAGAACCAAACAGAAAGCTAAAAGCTGCTGTTCTGGGATTAATATCAACCATAAAAAGACTTAAAGACTTCAAATTTGTAAACATGAATCATTCTGCTAGGCTGAAAACCTCTTAAACAAAAAAACTGAAAATGTTTCTAACAAAGAAGACATGACTTCAAGCATTAGCTTTTACAAGCATTTCCCAAATAAGCCTGACAGATCAGAAAATAATGTGGCCCAATGTTAGAATATAGTCATATGCCATATTCCAGCAGATTGTAAGCAGCCCATGTATAGAGAGTGACACACTTCCAAAAGTCATGCAGGATAATCCTTAAACTGAAAATGAAACAACATTGCCAATCAAANACCCCATTTGGGGTCGATCGACCATTTCACGGGGGTCGCCAAGCAAGGCTGTCCGCCATTTTTTTGTCCGCCATTTTTTTCCCCTTTTCCGGCGGGTGCCTTACCTCCCTTGGGCTGGGCCAGCTGGTGGTCGGCCTGCTCCGTCTCTGCCGCTTGCCAGCTACGCCTCGGCCGGCGCAGGGGGCGGAACCACGCATGCTCGGCGCTCCCGGGCAGGGAAAGTCCTCAACTTACGACCGGTTGGGTAGTCCTCGACTTATGACCGGTTTAGTCCTCGACTTACGACCGGTTTAGTCCTCGACTTACAACCGGTTGGGGGTCGCGGCATTAAAAAGGTTGAGAACCACTGATCTACATCTACAGCTCTACATCTTGAGTCCACTAGTAAAAGTAGGTGTCTCACAGAATTAGAGACAGAGCCGCCTTCCAAAGCATACTTCAATCATCTTATACACTATTGCAAGCCGCCAGGCTACAGGCGCGGAAAGCGTGACGGAGCCTTTTTCGGAACTAGAGAAGAGGAAGGGGACGCGCAGAGCCGAACAAAGCCCCGCAGGCCCCGCTGGGCACAAGGCAAAGCGCCGGAAAGCCGGCCTCTGCTGCTCTAGGGCCGGGCGCTCCAGAAGGAGGAACGGAGCCCCGGACAGGAGCGCCCAGAAGAGGGGCAGCGAGCTTTGCTGGGTCACGACCTCACTAAGGGAGCAGGGCAGAGGTGGGCACCGGGGGAGGCCAAGCAGGCGGAGCTGCATCCAAACACAAAGCAGGGAAGAGGCCACTGGAAGCGGAGCAGGGAGGGGGGCGCCAGAGGCCAGAAGGAGAGACCGGGGGGGGGGGTCCAGACGGAGCACTCACACATGAGGAGGCTGAAGGCCACAACCCCCAGGAGCCCCTGCAGGAAGATGCCGAAGCTGTCCATCAGGGCCCCGTTCTTGCAGCCGCGGTAGTCCAGCCCGGACCTCACCGTGGAGGCGGCGGCGGAGGAGGAGGAGGAAGCGCCGCCGTTCCGCCGGGGGTCCAGCTTGGGCGTGACAGCCAGCGAGCCGTTGGGGGCAAGGGAGCCCCCCATGGCCCACTCGGCGCGGCGCGCGGCAGGGGCGCGCGCGCTGCGGCGGCCGAGAAGCAAGACGTAAGCCAGGCGCGCTCATACGCTCCGCGGCACTTCCTGGGAAAAGGGGGAGGGGTTCCCCCGCGCGTCACGGCACCGCCGCCGCGTGACGTACTTCCAATCAGGATTGGCTCGTGGGCGGTTTGGGGGCGTGGCTAAGAGGAGCAGGCTGTCCGCCAGTGCGGCTTTTGGTCTGGTTAAGTGGAGGAAGGCGGGCAGGCAGGCAGAGCCGTGGAGGTTAAGCGTCTCCAGGGTTGCGCGCTTCGCTGTTGGTGCAGAGGAAGAGCCGGGGTTCGGCGGTGGCCCTGCTTCTCTGCTTGCGTGCCTTCGGTTCCTAACGGGTTTTCCTCCGAGCAAACCTTTGTTTGGCTTCGGGCGTCTGCGACCGGCGAAAAGACGGACAGTTAAGCCGCTGAGCCTCGGCGCTGCCAGTGCAGCTCTTTGGGGTTTTCTTTTGAGGACGCGGGTTCAAAAACAGGTCGAGAGAAGGCGGAGCGCGGCGAAGCGCGAGGGAGGAAAACGGAATTTAATTACCGCTATGGGTATTTAATCCTATGAATGCAATTCCGCCTACGGATAAGGATTGGAAGCTCGATTTTTATTTTGGACATTAGTTGTGTTCTTTTTTTTTAGGGCAACGATTTCAGGTATATATTACGAACGGCTGTGCCTCTATTGACACGTATATATTTTGTATGATTAACCGTGGAAGCCTGTATTTGGTCTTTTCTCAAGACCCAATATAATCTGCATATTTTGCAGTCAAGTCTAAGGTAATGTGTTTGCTTTCATAAGTTCTAGGTTCCAAGAGAAACTGCAAATGACCAATGCAATAACTCAGATATCAAAGATGGGTTTTTGTGCTAAGGAGCTGTGGTTTTTTTTCTTCTGTTCAATAATGTCCGATTTTCAAAGATTACCTTGGCAAGTCCATGCAGTTTTCTTGACAAGGTTTTTCAGAAGTGGTTTGCCATTGCCTCATTTCTAAGGCTGAGAGGAGATGACTGGTCCAAGGTCACCCAGCTGGCTTTGTGCCAAGGTGGGACTAGAACTCATCGCCATCTTGTTTCTACCTGATATCTTAACCACTACACCAAACTGGCTCTCAACCAAATATTAGCATATTCCAAAGTATGTATGTATGTTTGTGTGTTGTGTGTATATATACATATACACACACAATTTGGAATATGCTTGAGAGGCAGCAACCCCCAAGCTCTCCTGCCCTAAAAAAAGGAAGGAGGAATATCTGAACCTTTTCAACTCTGCTTAAATATTACACTATTGTATCTTCTTTTCCTCACTCTGATATTTTCAAGGCAATCTGTGTAATCAAACTATTTCTTGGTAGGCTGGGGTCTGCAGAAAGCTCTCCTTCCTTAATGTGAGCATCACTTCAGAGATTTCCCCTTCAGAGCCTCAGGCAAGTTTGGGGGGGGAGGGTCCTATCTCCCCAGATTTTTAAACGTGGCAAAGATGCCTGCAACTGGTTATCTCTGCAGTTTGAAAGTGGGGCAAGAGTGTATGAAGAATGGAATAAGGAAATTCAGTGGTCTCAAGATGCATGAAAGTGGCAGTGGAGAATATTTCAGCAACCCTGGCTAATTTATATGTTAATATTACGAGGAACCATGCAATACAGATTTTCAGAAAAAGTAACTTTCACCCCCTGATACACTTAGGCAGTTTTACAGTGGTCTAGTATTCAGATTCTGGCTCACGTGAGAACATGCTGCATGGTTGCAAATATTGATGAGCCATGAATTACAAAACTAGCACATTAAAATGGATTACTCTTGGCAGGGGGCAGCACAATTTGAAAGCTAATCTAGCCTTGTTAATATTTGGATGAGAGACCATCAGCAATTCTAGGGTTCAGATGGAGAAGTCAGAAAACAACCCACAGAAGCATCATGGTAAATAATGAATAATCTGTACCAGAAAGAAATAAAATTCCTCCTGTAGAAGACGACAAGAATGCATGTGATAGTTCTGGGCAGGTTGTAATTGACATTGAACAATGGCCACCCTCCTCTGCCCATAATAAAGTAATTAAAAGAGGATAACTTTGGAAGCAGTACTACAGGGGCATTCAGTAATGTAGTTATAAAATAAATATGCTGCAAAAATAAAGGCAAGATTTAGCTTTAGATACAATTAGAAAAAAAACAAAGAACAGGACAAGTTCTATTAGTTCCTTGGGGTTTTTCAACAAACTTAGATCAGAAATTATAGCTCTTTAATAGCTGTTAATAGTATCCCAGAAAATTGTCTAAAATGTAAAGTACTACCAAATGTTGCTTTGAAACAAGGTATCACATTCTATTTTTGTCAGTCATCTTGGGCATCAAATTCAGTGTAAGATTCCATTGTCAAATTCTGAGATATCCTTGGGCCAGTTTGGGCTTTGCTGAACAGATACCTGAGTCTGCAGCACAATGAAATTATGCAGTTTTGAACCCAGGATTAGCTTTCGAATAGCTTTCAAAACTGAAATCAGAAATCTAGATGGGAAGGATTGTTCTACCAAATTTTGTTAAAATGTGACATTTATACTGAAAGCAACAATATTGGTTTAAAATTAACTGACATTTGTAACAAAAGTGTTTCTCTGCAGATAGTGGATGCTGTTAGAACTCAATGCTGTTCTCTTTTATTTCTCTCACTTCTTCTGGAGTCTTGTGCTCGTCAAACTAAACAGGAGTTGATGCAAAAACAGATGGTCCATTGTTCAAACTGAAGTCTGCTTATGTGGCCTTGAAAAAGTTCTGACATATTTCAAATCTATATTGGGGTTGCAAGTAAAAGAAAAAAATGTTTTTCATATACAACCTCAATTTTAAATCAATCCCATTTTTCTGAAGTTTCAAATGTCTGATTTCTGTTATAGGTTTGCGCAAGTCAAAGCAGTGACTTGTTTCACTTTTATTTTTAACTAGATAAAAGCAATGTTTTGTTCTACATTACATTAAAAGTTATTTCAAGGAATATTAGGATTAGAACCAACTTCTAGTGGTAATATGGAATACACACAGACCTCTGCCCAGTGTTAATAGTTTTCAAATGTAATATAAAAATATCCTCTCCACTTTTGTGACTATCATTGCTCTTAATTTCTGTATGGTGTAACTATTGATACAAATTTACTTCCATTCATTATTTTTTTGGGAAAGAATATAGCATCACTATACTGTTAGCACATTTTACCATTTGGGGAAGAATTCTGGAAAATTAGAATGCTTGCTAGTATAAAAAAAGTTATTAGCCTCACACAAATAGCATTTGTCTGTAGGTTTGTGCTTTACTTGCTTTCAATGTGTTTTTCCAGAAAAAAAGCACCACTGAACTTTGGGGGCCTTGATATATATAGTAAAACAGACATACAGTTGACCATCAAGTTGCCTCCAAACACAAACTAACATATAATTAATGTTCCAAAGGAACTGTGCAAAGCCATCTATTTTCTCCAATTTATCTTTATGTTATGAACATAATCCCTTAAATCTCAAATCCAAGAGTTGCCCCTTTATACTTTTAAGCTTCAGTTTCTTCTGGGATAAAAGAAACACAGGGAAATCTGTTTCCAATGTTTCAGGGCAATAGCATTTCTCATTCTGTGTTAGCTGATGGGAGAAATGATACTGCATCTAATTATTTCTAAGTGCTTAAACTTTAATGTGATAAAGGACTTATCTTACTTGTTTGTAACATTAGTATGGTACTATAACATATAACTAGATTAAAAATTGAGTGAAGGAGAAAAAAGAGAAGGAACCCTAGAACTTGAATGTTTTAATTTTGTGTTATTATTTTAATGTGATAAAAGACTAACTTGAATGTTTTAATTTTGTGTTATTATTTTAATGTGATAAAAGACTTATCTTACTTGTTTGTAACATTAATGTGGTGCTATAAAATATAACTAGATAAGAATTGAGTGAGGGGAAAAAAGACAAGGACCCCTATAATTTGAATGTTTTAATTTTGGGTTATTTTTGGATACTGGAAAACATCAATATTAGTTTTTTGAATGTGTGAGGATTTTTCAGCTGGAGATGTATAAAATAAAAATACAGTTGAAGTATCCAAAATAGAAATGTTTCCCAGAAAATTGTTATTAAGGTGACAATAGCCAATTTGCTCTAGGATTCGAAAACTGCAGTTGGGTTTTTTTTTTAAAAACAATGTAAAATATTTGGAAAGTCACATATACTGCTATGAATTTTCAAATCTACTTTTTCTTTAACAATTAAAGACTCCAAGCAGGCAACAATATCACAAAAGAAACTGGCATCAATTTAAGTATTTTTAATTTTCTTACAACCACTTAAAACGGTCATGAAGTACCACAAAATTATATACATTCATTTACAGAACAAGTCAAATAATCTAAAATATTTTAAAACCCTTTACCTGATGCACCTAGGCAACAAAGAAGGTGCTTCAGTAGACATTTTATGTGCATAACTTCTACTTTCAAAATGTTATCCTCAGTTCACACACACGCACACACATATATATTAATTAAAGTAAAAATACAGCAAGCAGAAAAGACAACACAATATACATCTTTAATCTTTTTTTAGAGCAAAGCAGGAAAGTGCATGTCCAATGAGCTATTACAACTAAGAAATATGCTGGCAGTACCTGCCTTAGAGGCTCTTTCAGGAGATTTTGATTGTCTATGAACATTAAGGGAACAATCAGAACAGAAGAGAAAATGGGTGAAAATTAAACAAAATAGCAGCCGGAGAAGCTGATGAATATAAACCTTCAGTAATATAAGGTACATAAGGCTCCATAGGGCAAACACAGGGATACATTTTTCATACACATAAATCATCTACGGTATTTTAAGTCAATCCTATTTTTGTGAAGTTCCAAATGTCTAGGGATTCCAGGTTCTAGCCCTGCACAGGACAAATACTGGAACTTTAAACTGATTAATTGAAGAAAGCAACTTGCTCTCTTGCACGGAATCTGGTTTTTAGTTTTTTTTAAAAAGAATTGCTTAAAAGAATATAAATAATAGAATCTATTTCTAGCAAGCAAGTACTTAAGAGGAGTAAACACTATGCTGGTGCTTCTCCAGTGTTGGTTTTGAAACATGATATAAAAAAAGAATTCACATTCATAGCCTTCAGTATACAATCCATTTGTTACAAATCCAAGTCAAGGGAAGGGGGTTATATTGCTGCACATGCAACAAATACTACTGAATTATAGATATAACATAGTTTTTAAACTAGTTTTATCCTTTCAAAATCCATTCTGACCTCTTACCCTTAAGGCTGCTTTCAAATATAAAGGTCATATATGGATAATTTGGGGAAACTTTAATACCAACATATGCACCTGGAATATAGTGAAATTTACATCAGTGAGGTTTCCAGGCAATGCCAGTTTCTTTGTGCTTAGCAACTATTGGGTATTCTGAAAATTTTCAGAGCAGACAATTATCTTAGGCAAAGCCAAAAATGGCATTTAAAGACCTTCATTTAAAATGCTGAATTTTATATCTGCTAAAACATTTGGCTGTACATCTTGAGTGAACTTTTATTTACAGAAAGAAACAAAATGGCTGATATCCTGGCTTTAGACTTCACATTTTGGCAAACATCTTTTGCAAAAACCTTTTATTCAACTCTTCTTAACTGATAAATTTTGGCCTGTAATACTAAAAATAAAAAAAGAATCTCTGAATCTTGGAAAACTGTGTGCTCGATTTAGTAACTATATGAAATACTGGACTGATTCTTTTGTTCTCCCAAATCTTTAGAATCATAAAAATGGCAATTACGCAGAGTAAAATTGAAGAATATTTTGCACATTGGTCAATTACAAAAAAGCAGCTTGTATTTTCAGAGTAGGCTAAATGTTTATGTTGACTTTTTTCTATCTCCCCAAATTTTAAAGTGTTTCTTCAAGACACCAATCATGAGAAAATCTAGTTTGCTGCCAGCTTTTATATGCTTTTTCTACAGCAATTAGCACCAGGAATCTGAAAACTATGTTTACCTTTCTACTCTCTCTGCTTTAGGTAAATATTAATGCAGGCCTTGAAACCAACAGAATTTTTCCAAGCTAGAATGTCACTGGCCTCATAAAGATATACAATGTTATCTAACTTTGCAGACTTTCTTTAACCAATTCTAATATTCCAACAGGCTTTGAATGTCACATCGTAGCAAAGCAGGTAAGACTGGCTGACTCATCAGGGCAATAATAGGAAAGAGATGAATGATTTATAGATTAAATTACATTTTACTAAACTCATAATATTTCAGAACTATATATGGAATATTTTACAAATTATATTAAACCTTTTTAAACTTCACTCCAGAAGACATGCTTGAATTGGCCTCAAGAAATGAAATGTATCGGTTTTTTACATGTTGCATAGAAATGACTCATTCAAAGTAACAAGTAATGAAAACCATCTTTTTTTGAAAAACCCTTAACGGTTATACTAAGACCAAAATGATAGAACAAGACTGAAATGTCAGCCTATAAATACAACCTAAATAAGCCAGCATCTATTTTACTGGCATTCAAAATATTACTTATAGCAATATATGGCATATGAAAGCTTTACTTGAAAAACCCTGAAAAAGTTAGACATACAAGTTTGAACACATGGACGTATTCCAACTGGAGCTAATTAAATAAAGCAAGAATTACATTGAGCCTGATATATATTTTTTTTTTACAAAAAAACCTCCAATATTCTTTCTGATGCCAAACACAGGCATTTATACTCTCACATACATGCATGTTCTTATAAATAATGGAGCATCTGAATAACACTAATTTCAATATACAAATCTAATTGCAAACTTGGCCCACGTGTTCAGTTACATAACATTTCATGTACCAAACCTACTTTGACTGAAACCTGAAGCATGAAATCATTCTGTCTCTAGGATTCTATGTAAGTTATGAAGAAATTTCTTTCAAGATACCACATTCTCTCTCTTCCTAAAAGTATTCAATATGCCCTGCAACATGACTCTCCAGCAAGTCACCAATGCTTTGATCTAACTTGTGAATAATAAATACTCAGTGGCTGAAGTCACCAATTATGTATGTAATGGGTAGAAATGCAGAAACTGCTCTGGTCCTTCTAGCTTCCATAAAAACCTACTTTTCCATTCAAAACATGTTAAAGCATCAGCTTGTTCCTATAGTTGTGGGTAGTAGCTCTTTGTATTAGATCAGCATATTAAGCTGATGAACTCGGTTGAGTTCTCTACACGTTAGGCAAACCAAACTCCATCTCCTAATGTGTGTGTATGGCATGCAAGCTATGCCACAATTTTTTTTCTGTATATACTTTAAGAAAATCAAGTTCTATGGGTGCATTTACAAAAGTGTAACGATTAAGTGGAGAAATTCAATAATTTGAGAACTGGACGGAGCTCTGCATTTCAATTCATTCTTCTAAGGATGCAAGTTCAGTTTTTTAAGCAAATAATAAGGGAAGACCATGTAATTTCCCCTAAACAGCTACATATTTTCTAAAAAAAATTGAACATATATATTTCTGATGTGTGGCAATATTTCTGTGCAACTTTAGCTTACCCATAGCACATATTAATATCCACAATTTCTAAGTTTTCTCTCTCTACTTTTATCTACAACATGACAGGCTCAATCTTCACTATCAGTATTTCTCCATAATAAAGAGTGCTACTTCTTCAGTCTGTGACTATCAAGTAGTAGCTGCTAAAGGCTAGGATTCTGTCAGGACAGTAGAAAAAAGAGGAGCATCCATAATTTAACTACAGAAAAGTCAGTAGCTGTATCATACTTTTACTTGCCTGGTAGCCTTTTTTGGTTTTAGAGGTAGAGAGCAGGCTCTAAAATAAAGATCAGAAAGAAGCTGCACTTTCACTTTTAAGCTTTTGGCCACACCACGTATCTTGGCAAACAGCTAGTCTACTCATTTAAATTATCTTCAAGACTGGAAAAAATTAAAAATTAAAAAGAGGACGGTCATTCAGCAAGCAGCAAAGAGATGCTCATCTTCTGCATTCCTTTCCACATGCTGTAAATTCTTTCTGTCCATACCACAACTGGAGGATTTTTTTTTCTCCTCACGAAAGATATTTAAATCATCTTTTATTCATAAAAAAGCCCTGATGTACAGAACGAGTAAGTACTACTTTTTAAAGCCAAAAGACAGCTGCAAAGATAGTTAGGATTGCATTAATATTTTGCTCCAAGTATTTTCCCCACTCAAAGTGCAAAACTATAAAGCCAGTTCATAAGCAGTTTCCATCTAACCCTTCTTGGTTCTTCCTGTTGAAGGAAAAGCAGGTTACTGCACTTGTGCTTCAAAGTTTCAGGTTCAGTTTATCTTCTTCCTCCTGTTTTAGTTGGCAAACTGCTGGTAGAAGGCAAATTTAACCCTTTCAATGTGATGGCAAAGTTTAATGGCTGGGCCAAGTTTCAAGTCCATGCACTCCTGAACCGTGGGAAGAGTGAGCAAGAGAAGTGCCTGCCCGTCTATTTCCTATCAAGGGAAATTAAAAGAAATGTTTTTTATTAATGTGTTTTTATTAAGGCATTATAATACTTTGGTAAGACACTACATATAGTAAGTTAAATAAACTGGATGTAAGGAGAGGAATAAAAAGAACAAGAAAGATGGATATGATAGCAATATAAAATTAATTAAATCCTTCACTTATTAAATTTAAATAATATGGAAATACATTGCTCTATCTTCTTCTTTTTAGAATACAGGCAATTCTCGTTTAGTGACTGTTCTCAATTATGACAATGAAGAAAAAAGTAATTTTATGATCAATCCTTGCTTTTATGACCTTCGAAGGTCTGTAAAGCAAAGGAAAGCTGAAGTAAGATCATAAGCAGTGACTTTACTTAGTGATTGCTTCACTTAATGACTAAGAGGTTTAATGACACTGGAGATGGTCTCTGCTCCAGTGGTTCGAGTCCTAGCACTGCATGGCTGGATGAGCTGCCGTTACTTGCCTTAGCTTCTGCCCACCTTGCAGTTCAAAAGTATGTTCTATGTGAGTAGATAAATGTGTACCAGTTAGTGCTCTGTGCAGGCAATCAAATCCTGCCAGCTCTGAACCTTCCTGAGAGGGAGCCTAGGATAATGGTGCAAGAAGAGCCTCTCGTCTTTCTCTCTGGTGTGGAGCTAGCTCGCACTCTTATGGCACACCATGGGAAGCAGGCAAGTGTGTACCTGACAAGACCTGATAAACAGGCAGCCAAACTACTGCTCTGCAATAGCACTGTAGACTCCTGGCTTATGTATCAATGCAATATTCTAATAATAAATAATGTACTTTAACGACTGACTTCCCAATCCCCAAATGTGGTTATTAAACAAGGACTACATGTATAAGACCACTTCAGAAATGGTCAAATAACATTCCAATCCATTCCCTATCATTGGGAGTATAAATTTCTTTCTATATTTGCAAAACAGATGGAAGGCTTTAGTCTAGGCCAGGACTTTTCAACCAGTGGTACGGGTACCACCTGTGGTACATTGGCACCTGGCAGGTGGTACGTGACCATCCTAGAAAAGTGGTAACGGGAGGGGAATGAGCTGAACCGGTGGCAGCACTGCACAAGCCTGAGCAAGAGATGGCTGGAGCTGCAGGGCTGTCAGGGCTCAGCGGAAGTGCCGGGATCAGCGCCAGGCTCCAGCTGGAGATTGGCGCTGATCCTGGTGCTTCTGCTGAGCCCTGAAGAAGCACCAATCAGCTGGAAAGCAGCACTGATCCTGGCACCTCTGCTGAGCCCAGAAGAAGCGCCGTTCAGCTGGAATGTTGCAGCATCTCCAGGGTCTTGTGATTTACATTCAGATGCTTGGCAACTGATTCATATTTATGACGGTCACAGTGTCCCAGGATCATGTGAAGTGACCAAAACCTGCTGCAACCACCCAGCAGACGGGGAAAAAAAACACACCCCCACCCCACCCCCACTGCCAATCCTCAACAGAAATGTTCACAACAATGAAAACCTCGGACAGGAGGAAGAGTGCCGCTGGGTGGGCAGGCAGGTGTCTTGCTTGGCTGTGCCTTGGGGGGCACTTTTTCAGTGCCATTGTAACTTTGAACAATCACTAAGCGAACTGTTGTAAGTCAAGGACTACCTGTACTTCATCACTTTTTTCCTTTTTTTTTTTGTCATCAAGTTTTTGACACCTTGCTAGGCGACTGGTGGTACTCGGATGTTGCCATATCCTAAAAGTGCTACAATGGGTGAAAAGGTTGAAAAGCCCTGGTCTAGGCCAGTGTTTCTCAAACACTTGGCACCTTTAAGATGTGTGGACTTCAACTCCCAGAGTTCACCAGCTAGCATGCTGGTTGGGGAATTCTTGGAGTTGAAGTCCACATATCTTAAAGATGCTAAGGTTGAGAAACACTGGTTTAGTTACTTCATAAATACCATTTGCACTCAGATTCTCAACATTTCCTCAATAATATGTAGTGTGCCACTGATCTGAGGAGCCCATCATCTGGCACTGTATCATCAATTGCTTTATCTTGTCTATCTGTGTTCTTTTCTTGGTGAAATACAAGAGCGGTTTACCCTTGCCTTTTCCTACACAGTATAAAATGATGCCTTTGCTGTTATCATTAAAATTATCACCTGACTCCTAATACCATCCCATAACACTGCTGCCCAATAAAGGTTTCTGCTTGCTTTAGCTGGCAGCTAGGATGATCTTCACGCCTTAGATGATCTTGCTAAGATTACATACACTTGGCATACATTTCCAGCATCTTTTGCTCATCCTTCCCATATATACCCTTCCCCGCCACAATGAGGCAGCACAGCAGGATTTTTTATGTGATTCTGGGTTAAAACTTTACCTATTAGTGATCAAATGTGCCAGTACCTTTCAAAACTGAAAAAAACTATCCCTGTTCATTATAAGTTGGCCCCAAAATGTGGTAATATTTTACAGGAGTCATACATTTACTTTCTAACTGAGTCCAAAGAGAGCAACATTTAGAAAAGATCTCATCTCAGACAAATTCTGGCTGTCTTTTTGTTTTGTTTTTTAAGTTTTTGTATTATGTGTTACAAAATTGTATTGTAAGTCATTCAGAATCCTGTGAGAGAGAGATATAAGTAAATTTAAATTAAATATATAAATTCATACAGACACACATTAAAGTAAAGGCCTAGTGATAAAGTTAAAAGTATGGTAAATGGTCTGACTTAGTCCAAAGAAAATTTGAGAAGTCTTACCTTCCCATTAAAACATTCTTAATAATTTATACATGTGCACATGTATATATATATGTACAAATTACACAAATGCATGTATAAACAGAGGTAAAATGATCAAAATGTTATTTTAGTTGACATACTGGTTTCATGGAGTCAATTATTCATTGCCAATAATAAAACATACCTGATCCAGAAATATTCTAGCTAATGGTGCACAATCTGTAGATTTAAGGAACCGCACGACATCTGCTACACTCCATTCCAGAGGATTGCTGTCCAGCTGTAATTTTTCATCAACTTCTATTTTTATTTCCTATGCCACAAGACATAAAGACAAAAATATCACTTTTTCTTCCTTAGAGATATCTTTTCCAGAACATAAAAATGTTCTTTATGCACATTGAAATTTAGAGGCACAAAATTGCTGATAAAAGTTATTACATTCATATATAAAAAGGACTAGCACACAGGCCAGAAAGGTGCATTTTATGTACTTTAAATTGCAAACAATTACTTAGGTTTTCCTAGTTCAGGGGTAGTCAACCTTGGCTCTTTTATGACTCGTGGACTTCAACTCCCGGAATTCCTGAGCCAGGAATTCTGGGAGTTGAAGCCCACGAGTCATAAAAGAGCCAAGGTTGCCTACCCCTGTCCTAGTTAAAGAAATAAAGGTTAATCATCCATCTTTAAGTGTAGATTTAATTCCTGGAGAAAGGAAAAAATTAATAAAATTGGTTTCTCAGATTTGTTTTTTTTAAAGGTTAGCTTCACGAAGTGAGCAGAAATCACCCTCAGCCCTCAAGTGGTGCCAGTTTAGGAGAAGAGGCATTTAAGGGAAATTTGAAAGTTTTACACAGAGAGAGAGAGTTGCTGAAAAGCTTGATGATTGTTACATGTTTTAAAATCAAAACATACCTTTGGTGAAGGTGGCTTATTTTCATCATCTGAGAAAGAAAAAGTCCGTAGTTTTCTTTTCCGTTTGTCCCGATCTGGAGCCCCAAAATGAGACTGCTCACTCTGCGTTGGGGAAGAGGACTGTGATTTCTTCTCTGATACTTCAGACTCCTCGAGCAGCTCTTCCTGATGCTCAGAAGTACTGTCTTCAGTAAGAGATTCCTCGTCTATCTCATCCTGATCGTCTTCATCTTCACCTCCACTTCCCTGAAACAATACAGAACCACTCAGAATAGCATGGATTAGCAACCACTTTATCCCACAACCTCTATAGACTTGCATATTAAACACACCACCCCCCAGTTGCATACTTGGGGTGATCCCACTGGTGTGTTATCTACAGAGGTAGAGGATCGCTTCTTCTTATGAACAAAGAAGTTTTTCCGTTTTTTTCTTTTCCTGTTTGCTTTTTTCATGCTTGCCTCAATGTTGCTGTGGATACTAGGTGGTCGGCCAATCCTTTTGTTTCTCCGCTTTCCATAATAATGGGCTGCAGGAGGTTAAAAAGAAAAGGGTTGTTATCACGAAACACAATTCATCATTTGTTAGTTCTTAAAAAGATAAGGCCTTATTCTTAATACTATATATAGAGAGGCTTATTTTGGTTGTGTGCAACCTTTACGTTACTGTAGTAGCAGTGGTGGGGTATGCCTTAGGAAAAAGAGCAGAGTGTTTACAAAGACCAGGATGGGTTGTCTGCCAATTTATAAGTCAAACTGCTTTCTTAATACATCAGTTATGCTACCATGAGATGCAATCAAAGAGAAGAGCCATTCCCCCCCCCAAAAAAGGAACAAATAATATAAAGAAGGGTTATCTGGAGGGTGTATCAAACAGAAAAGATAGTATGTAAGATGCTAATGGAAGTGAAAGTAGCATTTTATTTACTAAAATCTGAAACAAAACGCTTTCAGAAATTACAGTGACAATGGTTGGATTCACATACGCACTTAGCCATAACCTTACTGAATTTCCTCCGTAAAAAATTAGCTAACTGTTATGAAGAAGATCTGCAAGATATTTCTCTTCAATTTAATGCAGTCATAATTTGACTTGAGATATTGTAATGTCTGAAGCCCAAAATGTGGGCACTTCATGGTGAAGTAGAAAACCATTAATCATAAATGGTACCCATGATTTATTATTGATTAAATAGCATTAATTCATGGATTAGTATGTTATCCAAGCAACTGGCTGTAATCCAATTACACCACTGCAAGCTTTGTTTCTGTTTACTGAAAGCCCTAAGAAGTGCCAACTGGCAGCCATCATAAAGCTTTTGGGATATTGTGTATTCATTGAAAAATGCTCTTTCTAGCTGCCTACACAATTTGGAGTAAATAAATGTCAATAATACAATTACTTACTGTATTTGGTTTTTGTTAGAACAGAGCAGTTCTCAGAACATTTGTCTAGCACCATTTGGGGGCCAAAGAGATTTGGACAGCATTCCAGTTTGATGCAGGTCTGCCTGCAGAAGTCTGCAACTCGATCAGCTGTTCTTACCACTTCCACCGTAGCCCGGTAGCTCTTTCCTTTATATCTGTAGCAAAGGAAGGTTTCATTAATAAGGAAAGGAGAAAGTAAACACAGAAATACACTCTGTATATCAGAGAAATACACATGCGATGGCTTCACACAGTACAGTAATAAAACCAAAATGTACCATATTGTGACTTACAGCCTGTGGCTTACACTATTTTGATTTGTAAACCATGGCTTGTATCTGTCCAGTGAA